AAAAGTGTGCCTGTAAGAGTGGATCTTTTTTGACATAGTCACCCCTTCTGCTCTGTAAAATGGCGTGTTCCCAGGATCAAATGGACACACCATTAACAGCATAACCAATACCATTAAATGGCAAGCGGTTTAATCCAAAGAGCTTGTGGTGGCGTGGGCACACATGCTATATTTTTAGATCTCAGTGGTATTCAATCTCTTAATGTTTGTGCTCTGCCCATTGAGGTAGATAATAATCAAGATAACCAGATTACAAATTCCCCTAAACTTGGTTATGGCTGTCGTCTTTGCTTTGGCCCTTCCTCTCTGCAGTCCCATGCCTCTCCCTGCATCTCCTCTTCCTCTCTGGACCTTTGTGGATATTCTTGCTATTGGTGGGCAGTGCTCTGATCCTGCCACCCTCCCTGTGTGGATCTGCGGCTGTCTGTTGCCTCTCCTGTCCAGTATGGACCCTGCCCCCCTGACTGATTGGTGCAGCTCTCTGTTGCCCCAACTTCCTCCTGTGTGGACCTGCATTTTGATTGGTTCTTGTGCAGCTGTCTCTTGTGCTTGATCTAACCATGTGGCCCCGCCTACTGTAACATCACATGGTTCCGTCAAGCGCCAGGGACCGCCTAGCACACACCTACCTGCCTCTCCCAGCCAATCACACACCTTGGAGCAAAAAGCGGGTCAAACATTTTAACCTTGTTTGCATTTATCTGTAGGGCTTGTAATATGTGAGTATGACTGTGGTTGAAATAAATGAGTCATAAACTGACATTTGACATTAAAATACAATCAGGGCTGACTATCAACACCTACTAGTTTTCTCTTGCTTATCTCATTGTGATGCCCTGTGGAGTTTTCTTGTAAACCAACACAATTCAAGTGTTTATTTCCAAGTATTATCTGTTTGTATGTAGCTTTCAATTTATTCTTGGTCTTTTTCTTCTTTTTGTCTTTTATTGTTTTGCCTGCTCCAAAACTTAATTGGTCAGTAGGTCTGAACTAAATTGCCAGTGTGCACCCATGTGTACTCGTGATACTGTGCACTTGCACATAAACCTGAAGTAGTCGCGTTTTTAAATAAAATCTTTATGGTGACACTCCGGCTCAAAAACTCCACAGGGTACATTTAAGTGAATTGAGAAACATCCACATTTCGCAGTTCACCTTGATTGCAAAACTGCAAGCATAAATTTGAACTCTAAAATTGCATTTAAACAGATGCTCCTACTTTTGTCATTGTGCTCTGGAAACATCTCCTTGTAATGCTTCAAAGCACATTACAATGACTGCTTGTTTTCTTCACATTTAGATTCTCCGATCGCATGTCAGTGTTTCAGTGGTTAGCATGGCTTATTGTGCATTCATGTGCTCCTTAGATAGCCCCATTTCCCTCTGGTTTTTGTTTGTTCTGCCAGCTTTGATGTGTTTCTATGATTTTGGGTTGGAATGTGGAAACAAAACTGATGCTGCAGACAAGATTTATTTTGTCTCTCAGTATGTAGAAACAAAACTGGTTTCTCTTTCCAGTACACAACTCAAGTTGAGTAGACTAGTCCCTTTTCCAGCTTATCCAGCTCTCTCTTAAGTTGGATAGCAGCAAGTATTTACAACCTTATTAAAAATTTAATGCAAGACAAAAAATCATATATAATACTTGAATTTTTACCATTAAACTTTCTCGACTACAATCAGCCAGATATGTATTTATGTGTGCGCTCTACAACAAAATTATCTCAGACTTTACATGTTCTGTCTCTAACTTGAGGAGGAAGTCCATGTGAAGTTTTTCCAATTTTTCCAATTATTCCAAAGCCACATGATTGCACAAATATTCCATCACCTCTCTAGCCCCACACACCTCTCACCCGTGTGTCTGCTAAGAAGAATTCAGCCATTACTGTTATTAAGATGATAAAAACCCACCTTCCGGTCTTTGCTTAATTCCCCTTTATTATTCTCTTTCCCTTTCATCCGAACTTTCCCTTGCTCTTTGCTCTCTGTCAGCTTGCCCAACTTAACCAACAAGGTTAGAGACAGCCCAGAGACACCATTGCAAAATATTTTTTCCATTGAAAGAAGGTAGCCATGTCTCTCAAAAGATAGACATCACTTGAAGGGCACTGATCATTTGCAGAAAAAAGAAAAAGAAAAGCTTCAATAGGTGGTTTTAGTTGTTTAACAATGAGCAAATGAGTCATGAAAACAGACTGGAGGCAGAGAATACTTTGTGCCAATGCAAGAATGAAGAGTAGTAAAATGAAGGAAAGATTACATTGACAGAGAGCAGATGGATAAACAAAGAGAGAACAGGAGGAAGAAAAAGAGATAATGATGACGGCGTGAACTATAATGAGAGTACAGTATGTGATGCATGAACGCACGTGCTGCATGATGCAAACCGGGTCTATTCTACAGGCACTCGCAGTCATAAATAATATCTGCTCATATTATATCTAAATAACAGAAGTGGTCTCTGGCTCACCTTGTTAAACAAAAACATCCGGGGTTAAACCACATTTATCTACGAGGTGATTCCATAAAGCCACCTGGATATCTGTTCGTTAATTTGATTTGCAGCAGTGGCCATGCAGAATTACTGCTCCCTGAATCAGCCCCGTGCCTGCTCGCAGTGCAGAGCTGTAGCAACAACTGCAGCCTGCTGTTTTAAGTAGATGGACTAGTTTTGTTTTGGCGTTGCTCATTCTGACTGAATTGTGACCGTCCTAGAATTTTAGCCACAATGAAACTTCTCAGGAAACAGTTCGACCAGATAGGCTGGGAGAAGAATAACAAAAAATATTGATTTTCTTTTTGTTTTTCTAAATATAAAATCATGTAAATGATTATATAAATGGGATTATGTTTATATAAGTTTGAAGTCTTGTGTCCATAGTGTCATATTTGAGCTTTTTTCCTCTTTTTTCCTCCCTTTGTGCCTATTCGTTATTGCCATAATTTACCTCCTTTTTTCCATCCCTTCTCTTCCTAGCTGTTTTTTCTTCTGTCTTCCTCTTCATTGTGATTCCTAGTTACATTATTTTTCTTCTTTTCTACCCTAAATTCTGATCCGCAGGTCAGGAGGACTATCGCAGCCGTCTGAGTGGGGAATGTTTCCAGGACCTGGTATGTCCAGAGAAGTGTCGCTGTGAAGGCACAGTGGTTGACTGCTCCAACCTCAAGTTGACCCGAATACCGCCACACATCCCTGAACACACCGCAGACCTGTAAGTCAGCTGGCCTTACTGTTTTATAAAGATATACATATATGTGCAAGCTCTTCAAAAAGCTGAAACAGAAAACAAAATCTCAAAGAAGCTTTTCATGTTTTTAGGAGCATATGCACAGACTAAAACACCCACTTATACATATGGCAATCATGTGCCATGAAATAGTCGTAATGTTTTTAAGGCCTGTGTAGATGGAAAGACAAAAACTCACAGATACGCTATGCATGTCCTTTTTGTCTCTCTCTGCTTCTCTCTATCATGAATGTCACTTGATTTTTAGCTCTCAGACCAAAATGCTCCTCAGCAGTCTTTTCCATCTCCCGCCAAGTCCCAAAGGAGCCATCATCATGTCTGGTGAAGGGTCTCACACTAGAATACTGAATAGTCCCATTGATCATTCACTTTCCGGCTTAAGAATGAGTAACAGATAACGCCACAGGAATACTGTAATATCTGTATGATTTCATGTGGGTTTTAAAACACAGACAAAAAACATTTACAACAGTTAGACTGTTAATCTGTAATAATTACCAGAAAGGTTATTTACGAGTGTTTTTTTTCTTAATTGTTAAAGCAATTCCTAATTAGTAAAGGTTATTTTTTCACTTTTTGAATTAAATCACACATTTGAAGACATCACAATCTGCTTTTGGAACGTGGTCTAAATCTACCTTGGTTCATGGTTTTTCAATATGCCACCATGTAGAGCAGGGTGATATGAAAATATTTATCACGTTATACATTTGAAAATTTGCGATAACGATATAACTGACGATATAATTGACATGAGACAAAATACTTTACAACTCCACAACTTTATTAGTGCAAAAAAAACCCCATCAATGTATTTTCACTTAAACAAGCAGC